TTGCTAAACCTAAAACTAAACCCCGACATGGGGCGAGTGGTGGTAAACTATGGAGGTAGTTTACCATGGCAGGGATGCCTGGAAAGGATTTCTGTGGGAGATACTCGCCTCGGTCACATAAGAACCGGTTCGTAGTCCCACCCGCCTAGTGAGTTATTACATATAGCTACATGTCTATATGGGTAGGCTTGATCTCACACCCTGTTAGATAGAAGTATAATTTCTACTAGGAGACTGGTGTAGGCAGCGGAATATCAGGAGCTGACACGGGGGATAGGTTTTCTTCCATGGAACGGTTGGCGTGGATGCTATGTGAACTTCCACGTTAAGCTTTTGGTTTTTGGCCGCGTTTGAACCCTTGATTTTCTTGGCTGTGTTTGAGCCATGTTTTCTTTTGTGATGATTTGGTATCATCACATTGGGGGGATTTGGTATCTTTCCGATTTTGTGTTTCCAACCCCTGAGAAGCCGTAGTAGAGTTATATGGACATCTAAGGTCACGTACATTTGGGTACGAGGTCTCGTTAGGTCTATTTCATCCACTGATCATGGAGGAGGTTGCACCTATTGTGTGGGGAAATTTATACACCTCGGTAGAGTCACTTAAACCTATTCGAATAGCCACGTCCTTGGAATGGGCAAATGCTAGGATGGGATACTATGATTAGTATTACTTTTATGTGTAATGAAACTGATAATGGAATTGATGCTAATTCGGATACTAGTGGGAATAGTAATACTCCGTTAGGGCCCAACCTTTAATTATAATCACCACTATACTTCTATGTCCACCCTATGATTAGGGTTTACTGAGTACGTATGCACTCACCCATTGTTGACACACAGACCTTGGCACGGAAGAAGACTATGACTTCGATGAGGAAACATACCTGAAAGATTAGGATTCTCGCAAGGAGATACGTTCATAGGAGTATGACATCGAGGCTAAGGTTTCGGCCGCGCTCAAGTTGCCTGTGGAATAGGACACCGCTTCGCTGTATAATAATCCCACTCTAGAGACCACCAATAATGCCGTTTCACGGCTGTAGTCTTCCGCTAGATATGTAGCTTATGACCATGCCCCTTGGGCCACTGTTACATGACCTTATCTTTAGATATCAATAAAAGCTCAGAACCTTTTATTATATATCTACGTACCATTCTTGTGATTTGTGCGTATTTGTGTGTGATCCTGGCGCAAATACGGATGCACTTAGGACTCTCAAATTGAGGGGCCGACAGATGGTTAACCAATTTTCTTTGCAGTTATTTTGAGCACCAGAAGAAACCCATAGACTGTCTATGGCGGTTACATAAAGCCCCAAAGAAATGAGTAATTTCCTTGGCCATTCAGCAAAACCACCAATGAAACTTCTATATTCCTTAGCAATTTACATCAACACCTCAGAAATATACAATTTCTTTGTGGTTTATTAGCATCGCAAGGGAAAAATAAAATAATCAGGGCTTGACAAAAAGCTCATTGGGCTGGGTTGGTGGATCATTTCAAAATTGTTCTGATTGACCTTTTTTTCTTTTAAAAATAAGCTATTTTAATGACTGTGGACTCAGCTTGGCTCGTTAGGCTTGGCTTATTAAGTGCGGTTGAAGTTAGTTCTCTAACAAAATTTTTTTCTCGAAAACGCAGGAGAGCTGTGCTACATTATATTAAGAAGATAACGGGCAAGAGCCCGAACAACCCCACAAACACCAAGCACACACCACACACATCACACACACACACACACACACACATATACACACGCACGCTCACGCCCCAACAGAAACGTTACATTCGTGCCCGTAAGAAAACACACAATGCGACCACTACTAGTCTAAACATTTCTATCTACCAGGGTGGAGGGCAGTCAAGAATGAAAGCCCTTGAGCCCCTGCCATAGACCATAAATGGCGCTCCTCGCCGGCTATGATCAGAGCGCTAGCAAGGTTTGGAGCTGTTCCATCAAAGACACATCCATTACGATGGTTCCATATAGTCCAAGCTCCGAGCATAACAAGAGAATTAATTCCTTGCCTTATCAACCCATCAGCAGTGTTGCTAGCCTTCTCCCACCAAGCATGGAAGGATAGTTCTGTAAGCTGAGGGAACAAAGCATGCAGACGACCTGTCTGAACAGATTTAACCAAAATTCTCTTGCGAACACACAATGGACAAGAAGATGGTCGATAGTCTCCTCTTCTTGGTCACAAAGGGGGCAATTCTCCGGATGAGGTAACCCTCGGCATGCTAAACGATCAGCTGTCCAGCATTTATTGTGCACGACCAGCCACATAAAGAAGCGGCATTTGGGTGGCGCCCATGATTTCCAAATTCTTTCCCATGGTCCAAAAAGAGTAGATCCCAAAAAGAAGCCTTCATATGCCGATTTAGCTGAGTATTGTCCATTAGAGGAGAGCCTCCATAGGTGTCTATCCTCGACCTCCGGCTACAGCTGAAAATCCAGAAGTAGATCCCATAAGTGAAAATAGTCAACAAACCCACCAACTGTGAGTGCTCCTTGTATGTCCAAAATCCAAGCCCGGTTAGGAAGGGCATCCCAGACAGTAAGCTGCTTAACCCTCCTTTTAGGAATAGCTGCGAAAAGTCGAGGGGCAAGGTCTGCAATGCATTGCCCATGGATCCACCGATCTGTCCATAAAAGAGTGTTTGCACCATCCCCAATTTCAGAACTCACTGCCATTGAGAAGAAAGCTCTTACTTGCTTCGGCACATGGAATGGTAGAGCAGCCTAAGGACGATGAGATTCTGTTTTCTGCAGCCAAACCCATCTCATGCGCAAGGACCAGCCAAGGGTTTTTAAATCTGAAATTCCCAGACCTCCGAGTTCTTGTGGGCAACAGACTTTGACCCAAGCCACAAGACAATGTCCACCTTTTGCATCTTTTTGACCCCTCCAAAGAAAGCCACGCCGAAGTTTATCTACCGCTTTGATAGCCCATGGAGGAAAGTCGAAAGCCATAGCCAAGTAAATGAGCATTCCAGTGAGAACTGATTGTACTTGAACCCTTCTTCCAGCCCTTGTCATTAGGTCTGCCTTCCCGCCAGGAAGTTGATATGCAATACGATCAATAATAGGCTGCACTTGTTCCGTAGTTAGTTTCTTTAGGGAGAGGGGCACACCTAAGTATTTGCACGGGAAATCCGAGAGTGGACAGGGCAGCAAGTTCTGTATGGCAGCAAGCTCCAACTCACCACATCTGATTGGGAGCACATTACTTTTCTGTAGGTTTGTCTTGAGCCTAGATGCCTCTCCAAAAAGATTAAGAATATCCATAATTATAGAGATATCTCCAGCCTCCGAGCAGAGAAAGAGAGCCACATCATCAGCATAAATGGAAATGCAGTGCTGCAAGGCTCGTGTTGGCAGGGGCAACAGCAAACCTTCATTGGCGGCTTTAGCAATCATATGTCATTAGACTATGATAAACAACATTATGTCAATTTCGAAGAGAACTCAAAAAAAGTGTAGTTACCTCGTTATCCATGCTCCCTTTCATTTCATCACAAGGAAATTCTTGACCACTAAGGATATTCCAGCTTGTGATAGTGGATATTTAGGTATCAAATTTGATCATCAACACAATGTTTGGGGCTTTGGGCAACATATGAGTTTGCTATCTGCTAGAGCTGACAACGGGGAGGAGATAGACAGGATTTTCAAGACGAAAGGTATTTGGAGGCAGATCAATGATAGCAGCACGTACCCTTCAGTTGCATATAAGAAATTTAACTAGCTAGTGAGCCAACTGCACAAATATTCCAGGTAAATTTGAATTCGGTGTCCTTTCTTCAGAATTGGGGAAATCAAGTTATAAAATTAATTGAACATACTGAATACAGGTCACAAAAACTAAAAGACTAGATCTCATGTTGCCAACAAGCTAGTGAATATCTGACTGGAAGCTAAAGAAAGTCTTTCAATACTGCTGAAATTGAAACTGATAAGTTATATGAATCTTTTAATTGCACCATATGGCCGATAAATAAGCTGAGCTGCAACAGCTTTCAATCTAGGTCTGTCCATTTGCTCCATCTATGGCGCCGCCAGTACCTACCATGGCAAAAAATTATCATTATTAAGGGCAGTCATGAAAGACGATCAGATAATAAATTAATAAAGGCAAAATTTGCTACCGGACATGCCAAGTGACCCCTCTTTGCTAGCGGACATGCAAAATTTGACGATTTGCTGGTGGACACTCTGGTTCCTTACAAATTTGCTGGTGGACACCCCATCCAATAAAATATTAATTTCTAGCTGTTGTGGAGAGAGAAGGACGGTAAAATATCCAATTTGCCCCTGCCCTTTGCCCCTTTCTTCTACACCTCTTTCTTCTTCCCCATCTGCTCCAAGCAGCACCGCGTCCTCCCTTCTCCCTCTCCGAGCAGCACCTCGGCCCCACAGCGCCACTGTCGACGGCGGCTGCGCCCCTCCTCCGAGCCGCACCGCGTCCTCCCTCCTCCCTCCCCCTCCGAGCAACACCATGGCCAAGCAGGGCCACCACCGGCATGGCCACCGTGGCTGCTGCTGCTGGGGCGGCGCGGCCACCCAGGCTTCCTCCCCGCGTCCACCGCACCCGTGTGGACCGAGCCTACACCCGCCAGCCGCACCCGCCCTCGCTCGATCTGTTCATCCCGCACGCGCCGTGTCAGAGTTGCGGCGCCATTGACGGCCTGCACGTGAAGCTCGCGACCCGGCTCTCTCCTCCTCTCCTCCGCCCCTATAAAGAGCGCCCTCGGACTCCTCTCTGCTCGCTGCGTCTGCCTCGCCCTCCCGAGCTCCCTCCCGCACCGCAGCGACCACACTTGCCACCGCGGCCGCCATTGATGACCGGCTTTTAAGTTCCGCGACCCGGCCATCCTTCCCCTCCCCGCCCTATTTAAGGGAAGCACCGGCACCGCGATCGGACGCCGCCACCACTCCTTCCCTCCTCGAGCCTCCTCTCTTGCTCCAGTGCCTCGAATCGCCGCCGCCGCCATGGCCGACCACAGCTCGAGATCATCGATCTCCCCGTGCACACCTCCTTTCGCCACCCCGTTTCCTCCATTGGAACCGCAGTGGCATGGCACGTCCGCCCAACCCCTCAAAGGCCTCGATTCAAAGCCGCAGCACCTTCCCCTGTCCTCGCCGGAGCTCCAAGCCGAACCATCGCCATTGCTTCTATCTTCCTGGACACGAAGGCAGCGAACCACGACCGTCCGATCTGAGATGGGCAGTTCAGATCCTATGTTGACTACTGGTCAACCAGTCAAAGGTGAGGCCACATCACCTATATGAGCCAATCCTATCGCGCCACGTAGCCGTCAAATGCCACATCAGCTGAAGTCAAGCCCAGTGATCACAGTTTTACCGTGCGTGGGCCCCGCGCCGCCGTGGCCAGAGGAAGGAGACCAAGGTAGAAGAAACAGCTAGGGGCAGAAAGGACATTTCCCGTGCTTCTCTCCTCGAAAGCCCGGAAATGAATATTTTATTCGGTCCGGTGTCCATCAGCAAATTTGTAAGGAACCAGGGTGTCCACCAGCAAATCGCCAAATTTTGCATGTCCGCTAGTAAAGAGGGGTCACTTGACATGTCCGGTAGCAAATTTTGCCATTAATAAATTGGAATTTTGATAGATGCATATGATCCATCTTGTCAACATTTGCAATATTGAAGTGTACATTATTAGCAGTATGAATTAAGAGTTGTGTATTTCAAAAACTGAGAGGGAGCACTGAAATTTAGTTTATGCATCTGATCTATGTATAGAACCACTGAAAACTCACTATACAAGCATATACACTATAAACATGCGAACAGAAGGAGTATGTGATAATTCAACTAACTTTACACATCTTAGAAATGACATCATTCACACATGCACTATGCGAAAGAGAATAAAATTGTACAAAAACATGAATATTGTCTCTTGTGCTTGTGCACATTCGATGATTCAAACCTCAGATAGCACAAGAACACAAAAGTTAAGAGATGGACACACATATAATTTATATTTAAGTTTGATGGTTTAAGAGTTATAAAAATAACAAATTCCCTATGTTGCTTTGCTCCTATTATAAATTGGCCTGCGTTTTTGAATTAATTGGCTTAGTTAAGTTATGAATAATTACTTGATGACAGTACATGAGTTGTAGTACTTTTATTAAGCTTTTCAAAAAGCTAAATATCATGATTTTTGGTTAAGTAGATCTTGAGTTATACTTGCTTAAATCTCTGTGGCTGTTTCTGCCCAAACCCAGAGAGGGTTTCCTTGTTGGCACTGTGGGGCCTTCTTAATAGTAGAATTAGCTTTAGGTATTTATAACAAAGTTGTTTAGAATTTGTTAATATTTCTAAAAAGTCTAGAACCACATTTATTGGACATGTAGAATTTCAGTTATATATGTTTAAAGTGGCATGTCAGTTTCTATCCATGTTTTAGACAGGGATGCATTCATTGGATTAATTGACCTTGTTATCTGTAGAATCATCTTAAGATGATAATAATAAAGTTGTAGGTAACTCTATAATATTTTCAAAATGTTATGATTCATGTTTGTTGGAGGTCTAGAACTCCAGTTATGCTTCTCTGAAGTTCCTATCAATTTTCTGTACCACTATTGTTTGGGCTGCATATGCAGTCTTGCTTGTGCAATTATTTTCATGGTGTAAATCATGTTTTCTGTGGTTGTAATGAATACCAAAGTTGTATATAATTTCATAATCTAGCTTGTGATAAATTTTCCTGACCATAGGCCTGATAATTTAGGAGCTATAGATTTTGTAAGTTCATGGTCAGATTTTTCATGCTCTCTGTACAAATCTGAATGATTGTATTGTTTGACTTAGCTACGCTTTGAATCATGTCTTGGACATAATAGAATAAGTGTAGTTACTTTCATGATATTTCCAAATTGTTAAAGATCACCCCTTTTGGTGTTGTAGAGCTCTAGTTATAAGCTTGGGAAGTTGCATAGCAGAATCTGTCCAAGTCTGGACAGAGGTGCTCAATTGTGCTTGATTGACCTTGTTAATTGTGGAATCACCTTGTGATGATAATAAACATGTTTTAGAAAATTTTATAAGAATTCTAGAAAGTTAAGTTTCATGCTTGTTTGATGTCTGTAACTCCAGTTATGTTGTTTTGAAACTACTACTACTACTTTTATGTCCTAGTTCTGTGCAGGTCTGAAATATTGGCATGTTTGACCTGGTTAGCTTTGTAATAAGCTTTTTGTGATAATAACAATGTTATAGGCAATTTCATTAGCTTTCCAGAAAGTCTAGGATCACCTTCTTTGGATGTCTGGATCTATAGTTATGGTTAAAATAAGTGATTGCGGTGCTACTGTCCAGAATTCGATACATGTGTTAGGTGATTGCTTTAGCTGCTCTTGTTTTGGGCTAAACATGTTGTTTAGTTTCTGATCGATGCATGTGTACAATATCTGAACTAAAGTTCACTTGTATGCCATGCCTAATATGCTTGCTATCCCTCTATAATAGGTTGTGTGATTTTAGTTAAATAACTCTAGGTGCCTATGCCATGCATGATCTTATGTTTACCTTGAATGCTATTATTCGATGCATCTCATATTACCATTCTTCATATTTATGCACTTGCATCTTGCATCTCATCTAGGTACGTTAGATGAACCATGTGAAGGGTGGGATGTTGGAGCCAAACCCAAAGATGGTGTATGGTGGACCTATCACGAAGATGGAAGGACTGGACAAGTGCTAGGATGTTAGATGCTCACCAAGTAAGTGTCGTCTAACAAACACTAACCTAGTGTTGGATCCCAGGCAAGCCCCGGAACATTCTAAGCCTCCTACATTTTTATAAATATCACTTGAGTTATTTGTGTTTGATGCATTAGGTTATAAGAGTTGATTGGAACTACTTGATGCATAGAACTACCTTGTCCAGAAATATACCTTGAACCCTATGTAGGTCCAGTATCGAATGTATGCTTAGCGATGCTTAGACCGGTAGAAGTCAGGTGATTTCCTGTCACCTGTGAGATATAGGTGGATACCAAAGCACGATTGGCTATATTTGCTATCATGAAAATAACCATGTGTTGATGAATAAAAAGAAGACCGAGCGGGATGTCGATAGAGAAGCAACAAGACATGGATGTCTTGGGTGTGGATCTATCCCTGTCTATGTCATTTAAGGACTAATTCGCTGTACGTCCTCATGTCATGTTGAACGCATGCCTATCACTTAGTTGGCCGGATAACTCGTTCCGACCGCGAAGCCGAGTAGCTCAACTCAGGCCGATAGTCTAGGAAGTGAAAGTGTGCACCCTGGCGGTAGTAAGGATGTGTGGGGAGCCATTGGCGTAAGTCCTAGGTGAGATTGACCACCTGGCAGAGTGGACTCCCTGAGGGTGCGGCGCTGCTTGGAACCGCGATTCCTGAGTTGTGCCAAAGGTGACCTAAGGCATACCATGGCTTATAGACCTGGGTTTGTGTTAGGAATACCCCTCCAGCTGGATAGGAATCGATTCGAATCGCCGTCTCTCCCGAATAGTGAGAACTTGACTGAGCAGCGGCAACGTAGAATAACTTAATTGAACTTGATGGTTATAATGATGATGGTGATGTTACAATATTATACCGGCAATGGTTACTATTGCCTGTTACTAAATGTTATCCCACATGTTTGGCAAAGGTTAGTTGCTAATCTAGATATGAATAGCTATAATTAACTTGGTTACTGAATTGTAAAAATGTATAGCTCAACTCTTGGCTTTTATGCAAAATGTTGTCAAGCTAGCTCCACCTATAAAGCCTTGCATACTCCTTGGTGTCACTTTATTTCTAGTTTATGACGGGTAAGTCTAGCCGAGTACATTCGAGTACTCAGGGTTTATCCTACCATGTTGCAGGTGAGGTTCTCGGCCTGTTGAAGATAGTGGCTAACCACCAGTGGGCTCGGTGACTCTATATTTACCTCTCATCTATATGCTTTTATTAGAGGATGTCACTTATGCTAGCAATGTATTTGGAACTTATATTAATGTAATCATTTGAAAGCTATGTTGTTTTCGCTAATCGGTTTTGAAACCCAAACTTGTACTATTATTTGTGAACCCATTTATAATATTATTTTTGCTACAACTCTGCGTATGTGATGTGTATTTGCTTAATTATACGATCTTGGTTGTGATGTTGATTTACCGAGGTCCTTCGTGATACTCGGCGGACTACCAGGTTTATATAAGTGAAAGTATATATGTGCGCGTCAACATGCTAAACGGAAACAGCCGTACTTGATCTAGTATAAATTGAGCGGTTGTGTCACATCTTCGACAAGATCATTTACCGAGTGTCGCCTCGCGCCGTCGTTTAGTACCCTCTGTAACAACTTAGCCTAGTATAGTCCTCGAGCAGCATAGATGGTGCAAGGAAGCATTACGTCATGATCTGCCCCTACATGGCTGGCCCGTCGGGGCCACTGAGTTCCACCATCCTCTGGCAAAGGTGGCATAGTGTGTGCATAGTGTGTCCCTGGCCTTCAACGTCCATGCAGGGAACGGCATCGGCTGCAGCCCCAAAGCAACGACGGGGGCGCTCAGACCTGCAGTGCGGACGCCTGGTGTACACGTAGCCCGGCCGAAAATGACACCTCCACGTGAGCCTCATCGTTGCCTCCGAGGTCACCTTTGCCAGTTCTGTTGTCTGCTCCTCTGTAAAACAGGAGTAATTCTTTTGGAAAATTATAATGATAAAGAAGATCTATAACATTTATAGTTGATAACTTTTAATTTGCATTTGAAACTACTTAGATATCCAGTATTTATCTTCAAAAGTTTCGGACAAGTCAAAATGAAACTAGTTCGAGTCAGGATGCTTCACCACCCGCGTATGCGCAGTGCGTGGTATGATGGTGGCCGATTCAGCGTGTAGGCGTTGATCGGCTGTGCATTGGTGTTGCTCTCTAGACTGAAAATGCTTACAGCATACACAGTTATGGTGCCCCGACCTGTTTCCGCAAAAAAACAAAAGTAATATAGCGCCTTTTAATTTTGTACCGTAACATAACCGTTCACCAAATCTCACGTCTAAAGGACATGCCCCTTGGTGACGTGGTTAACTGCTAATCCTAATCCTAACCGCTTGTACAGATGTCGTATGGACGGATGAGATTACTACTGTGAAGAAACGCTTGTTGGCTATGGTGAGACACCTGTTGGTATATGCAGTGCCGTTTCACAACACTCCACCTTGATCGAATCTTTCTTGAGATTAATGTAGCTATAAGCTGAAATTCCTCGAAAAACCCTGTA